TAAGTTTCCATTTCTTATTAAGCTGGGTAATAAAAAAATTCATTGATACAAAATATCCATAATGAATTATATTATCTATCTCTAAGAGGTATGAAATATAGCATTTTAATATTCGTTATTACAAATTGTGTGTTTTGCTGAAAATTATTTGGTAAGATTATTTTACTATTGAGATCTTTATTTTAACAACATAAAAATTTGTTGCTGTATTTTAAATTTCTAATGTCAACAGGATGAGACAATGAAAGACTATTTTAACATAATTATTAAAATATAAAATATGGCAATCAGTAGAAATTGAAATGCAATAAGAATGTTTGTAGGTGTGGTTTACTCTTGCTTTTGCTTATATTGATAATTTTAAAAGTAGAAATTTTTTTTCATTTTGATAATTATGATATAGTAAATCAACTTGTCACTTATTTGTTGTTAAAACTGTTTCTTAGGACCACATCTCATGAAGACATTCTTGTGACAGTAGATAAATCTCATTATAAGGTTTATCATCATCATTAAATAGCAAAATTCTTAACACTAAAATAAATTTAGTAAAAAAAAGCAGTATGGGTTTAGTATTATTATTTTTAACCATAAATTTAAATAAAGCTGTATTCTATCTATTGAATGTTTTCAAGTTATCCTTGCCAATAATTTGATTTTTACTTTTTATTTTGGTAAAAATAAGCAATAATCTATATAGTAAAATGAATTTTGATATTGTGGATGAAAAAAAATATATATATATATACATATTTAAAAATTCACAATACATTCAGGGAAATGGATGGTTAATATGATACTTTCTTTGGATGCAATTTAATTATGATAATTTTTATTTTGATATATATTAAGATATATGCTCTCAGTAATAGAATTGTGATTATGTTACATGAATAATTACTTTCTTAGCCATATTTTATTTCTAACTACTATTTAATAATGTAGATTTATATCTGAGAGAGATACTTGGGATTTTTAAGTCTTTGTGAAACAATAACCATAATTTATCAAAATGGTCAGTTTGGAATCATTGCTGATGAGCCAAGATGATCTTACATGTGATTTTATACAGTAAAAAAGTGTTTAATATATAAATTTTTCATCAAATAATATAAATATTAATCTATTCAGTTATTTTGTGATGTCATAAAGAGCATTAAAACGGTAAACTGTGTGCAGATACATAAAAAATAAAAACAATCTGGCTATTTTTATATATTCTTTTTGTGATATAAACAAACATCTTTTCTGTTTTGCCCATTAAATAAAATAGTGTGTGTGTCTTAAGATTTTAACAATTAGATTGCTATGTTGAATACTGTGATATTGATGTTGAAAATTTATATTGGTGGGTGTTAGACTTTAAAATTTCATCTGAGTGTATAGTTAAGGAAATACTTTTCATTAAAATTTTGGAGCCAGATCATTGTGAAATCTGACAGGATGGTGTCTCCCTATAATTAACATAAGTTAATCAATAAAACATTACTTGGTAACATAAACTCAAGAAACTTTTGATATTTTAATTGTGACTATTTTTACAATTATAATAAATCTGACTAAAGATGTTTTTTCTTATTTCTGAATCTATTCTTAATGTCAAAATCTGTACAAGTACTTTTTTCTTTTTTTTTCAAAGTTACTAAAAGGTAAACTAAGTTTTTTACTTCTAGAAGTAAAGCTAGTGTTTTCAGAATTTTAAAGAGTCAATAAAATGACAAAGTTCACATGAAAAATTTTGTTCTTAGTTCAAAAAGTTTTTGGTTGATACAATTAAAAATATATTACTTAATTTTTTGGGTATTTAGAACACTTGTATATTATATGGGTTATTTAGAAAATCAAATGTTTTAGGAAATAATGTTTAACTGAATTTAAGAAATTATCTAATATAGTTTATTTTGACAACAGTAATTAAGAAACATTGTAAGGAAAATTATTATTTTGTATTGGATGTTGAATTTCTTTTTATGTCACAGAATGAAATATGTAAATACACATGTGATAAAAAAAATTTGGGGGACTTGGACTACACAGGATGTTAGAAGTTTCATAGCAATTTGCTCATTAGTATTTGGGTAACAGTTGATTGATTCTGTTATTTTTGCTATTTTCAGTTATAATATAGGTTCTTTGCATTTTTCTTTGTTGAAACTTGGAAAAAGAAGTGCAAAAATGTTTCAAATGCTGTAAACAACTTTGGAGATGCTACTATGTCTTTCTTTGAAAGTAAAAGAGTAAGAGGTTTAAAAATGGCCAAACATTAATTAATCCCCTATACCACTTTTATACCTCCAAAGGAAGGTATAGTAGCATCTCCAAAGGTTGTTTAAAGCATTTGAAACATTGCACTTCTTTTCCCAAGTTTCCAACAAAATTTAATATGGGGTTTTTTTAACATACATTTTAAAACTGAAAATAAGTCATTAATCAACTGTTATTTAAATACTAATGGACAAACCACTGAACCTTAATGCAGTTTTTAGCAGGAAGTTGACAGTCTCTCCCACCACACCAAAGGTTCTTATGTTGATTCTGTGACAATTTGTATATTTAATGAAAAAATATAAGATTGCAATTCATTTGATAGTCATAATTTGCTTTTATTAATAGTTTTATAGTCTGAGTCTAGCTATGAAAGGATTGAAATTGCTAATGGATAAACTAAAATACATATTCTTGAAGTATTAATGAAATAAATTTTCATAATATAAATGAGTTTATATTCTGATTAGGTTTTTTTATATATCTTTAATTAAATATCTTGCTTGTATTCAACGTTTCATAATAATAATATCTAGATAATAGAAAATTCTTTTTAAATATTTCTATAGTAATTATTGGGAAGATTGGAAAATTACTCCAGATTATTTTGTTTAACAGTTTTTTCTAATATGAAAATAAATGAAAAGGAGCAATTTTTATGTGGACAAGATGATGACATGTACTATACCATTTTAAAATAATTACAAATAATTTGCTATAAGATTTAATTATCTATTAAATATATGATGCAAAAAAATGGAAATATTTCATAATTTAAGATTTCTGTTTAAAGATCTTCAGATTAATACTTACTTCATAATTAGTTTACATGATTTAGTTGAAAAAATTTTAAAATTATATATGAAATAAGTTATTGAGTGATTAGTAGTAACAGAATTTAACATTGCATGGCTTATAAAAAAAAACATCATGTACAGTACTTGTTTGATCCACTTAGAAATCCAACTTGGTCTTTCATATTTTATAGATACTAATACATACATATTATGCTTTCATATAAAAATATGGAAGATTGTACAAGCAGTTTTATTTAAAATTATTGAAATTGATCTCTCCATTTTTATTTTTCATTTGACCTTACAAATCATAATTAGTTGATCAAGAAACTAGATAGGCATGTACATCTAAGACTATTTTCGTTTGAACAAGTGTGAACTGGTCTGTTTTTAACTTCTGTAGATTTTATAATGGCTGGAACAAACAAGTGCATGATATTCTTAACATGCTTGCTTCTGAATTTAAACATGCAATGTAGTAAAACTATTGATGAATTGACCTCACCCATATATGATACAGATAAATTTTTTTTCTATAATTGAATAGTAATATGTGATGTATATTCTTTAATCTAATTTTAAAATTATCTAGTCAATAGACTAGATTTAGTTTTGAAAAACATGGCAATTTTATGATGATATTAAATGTTAAATAATTACGCACAAAAATGTTTTAGCAAAAAACAAGTAGTTTAAAAAATTCAGTTAACTTAAATACTAACTACAATAAAATTTCTTAAGCAGTTGTAAAGATTATAATTGAACAAAGTAAAAAATGATATTTCAATATTTATAAAACATTAGTAAAATGCTGAATTTTTTGAATTTGTTTTTTGATACATCCCTTTCTACAAAATCAGGTTTTTATATCTTAAATGAAATAATAAAACCAATACTTAAATTTTTTTTACATTATTAAATTAGCCTGAAATATTTTAAAAATGGACTAAATGTATATATGACATTAAAAATTAATACTGTAAAAGTTTATTTCTTTCAATAGTAAGTACTTTTGTTAGTCATTCAGTATGTTAGTCATAAACATGCTAACTTTATAATAATAATAATGTTTTATCATAACATTATCATTTAACTTCTTTTGAAATCTGAATTAGGAATTTTAATAATTTTGGAATAATACATTTAAATACATTTCATAAAGTCTTTGTCTATCAATAGATTTAACTTCACACCGAATAAAATTTTTGTAATTAAGAAGTTCTAGTGTAATATACAGAATATTTTAAATATAACAATATAATGATATTGATTAGCAAAATTGTTAGACGAAAAGTAATATAATTTTATTGCATTATGATTTAAGTAATAAACTGTTTTATTTTAACAGCTATTAAAGAAATACATGTAAATTAAAATACATATATTTTAATTTACATTTGAATTAGTTAATAATGTTATCATACATAAATTAGGCAAACACTACAAATTTAATTCTACATAATTTGATATAGTGTTTTTCTATAGGATTATTATAATTTATTCATTGTAACCTTAGATTCTGAGGTTGAAAGATTCAATGGGTTTTTAGCCATCCATTTCATGTCTTGTATTTTAATTTAAAATAGTCCAACAGATACAAAAGTGAGGTTTAGCAATTGTAATGATATAAACTGTTGCATGATTTTTTAAACTAATTTTGTATTAAAGAAATCAAAATTATTTTTTTATTAATTAGTTCATCAACATTTTGATTTTCATATTACATTGTAAAAAATTAAAAAGACGAAACAAATTCTATACATCTAAGGTTGTAATGAATAGATTATAACCAATAAATTTATATTATTTAGAAAATTTTTCTTGAATCTTTAAAAGAAATAACAACTCAACCATTTTAAATAATATTTCTAAACTGTATAGAAAGATTTTATATATATATAAAAAAGTGAAATTAAAACTATTTGTAACTGATTTCAGGTATCATACATCTGGAGCAATGAATAAAAAAGGAAAAAATTCTAAAAGTAAGATAAAGGAAATATATACATTAGACTTTGAAAGGAAGTACTTTACTGAATAATAAATGATTTTTCAAATTTTTTCCTATCATATGGAGCATTATTTTGCAACTCATTGCTTTTTTTTAATTGAAAAAAATTAATCTGAGTTTTAAAGCTTGATGCAATATTTTTAAGTCAAGTTTAAAAATTAACATAAGTTTCTAAATATGTATTGGATGTTAAAAAAAACTTTCATATTTCTGTATATGATTAGTTGTAAATTATTGAGTATTAATGATCTGAATTTAATTACTTTAATATTAGTTTTATAATGAATTTATCTTTTCTATAATATCAAATTAATAAGTGAATATATATCTGTTAAATTAAATATAATTTATCAGGGTTTGATGTAAACATTTTATAAAAATTCTATTAATTATATGACCCAAGATTGAAAATAGGCAATGACTTTTTAACATTCTAAAAAATGTTTGTTTAAATTGGAAATTAATAATTTCCAGTGAACATCTTTTTGCATTAATATTTTTGATATATTCTGTAATTGATGGAAATCAGGTTTTTGTATATATTTAAATCATTTTCCATTTTATTTTATAAAACATGAATTTGTTGAATTAAGCAAAATTATTTTATTACATGATTCTGAATTTAAATCATGGTATATACTAGTGAAATGAATTGCAAAATATTAGGTATTGTTTAGAGTGTAATGATTTAAAAGTAATTTTTAAAAGATACCATATGGTATTAAATATTGGAGGAGGTATTAGTGGTATCTTAGATGCAACCAAGTCCCTTGGCAGTGTAATTTTAATATAGCTTTAAACAATTTTTAAGGTGTAATAATTAAAATGCATGCATCTTTTTAAAAGTTTTAATTTTAACTTTATGTATTGATTTTTATAACACATACAAATAACATGCACATTTTAAAATTAAATAAGAGTACACCTCAAACAACTTAATGCACTATTTAAAAATTTCATTAGATTATCATTGCAGAATATTTAATATAATATAATAATTTCACATAAGGCATCAATAAATTTTCAAATTTTGTTAAAGCTATTTAAAATTGATTTAATTTAAAATGAAAACTTATTCGTTATTAACTTTGTTATAAAACATTTATTACTAACAGTTTTTTAGAGTTTAATAAATCATGCACTGATATAACAAGTTATATACACACAATAGTTTAACATAACATAAAATACAGTTTAACTAAATATTATTATTATTTTTACATAAGTAAAGATAATATTTAAAATTTCACTTATTTGCTTTTAGGAGGAAGAGGGAATTACCATTCAAATGGTGGTAGTGGATATGGTAAGTAACAGTCAATTAACTGTCAAATGTAGGAAATCAGTTATCTGAATAAACTTGATTATCAAGAAAATTTTTCTTTCTGAATCAAATTTCATTTTATATTTTTAAAGATTATTTGATGCAATTTTTTATTGTTTTATATAATATACAAAAATGTATAATAAATTTAAACAGATTATTTTTTATTTATTGATAAAAAAAAATAGTTAAGTTTGTTCAGATTTATGTATTAAAATTATGAAATTGATATAATTTGACATTCCTTTAATAAATGTAAAATAATAATGCAATAATTGCTACTAAAGATCCCTAAATTTTAATTTTATGATTGTAATTGTCAGTCTTTACATTATATTTTGAATAACGGTAATAAACTCTGTTGAGAGGAAGGGGAACTAGTGATTTTTTTCAGGTCCAGAAAAAGCTTAGTGGCCTGTAGTTAATTTATACTTGTTAAAATTAACATTATTTCTACTAACAGAAAATAAAATCTTTGAGACTGCTTTTTTTTATAAACAATCTATGTATTCCATTTGATTAAAGATTATAAAGGCAAAAGGAATCTTCTTTATCCAAGCTCTCAATGGCCCTAATGATGATTCCTACAATAACAACACAAAAATGTGATGAAACTTTGTTTCTAGTAACTTTTCTTTGATTTGTTTCACCATAGCATTTGACATTGATGTCAGTTAAGTATTGCATTTACATCATCATAGGAATAATATTACATCAATGGATAGAAATTTTAACTTTAAAAAAAGAACTTTATCTACTTCACTAAATTTGCTTATTATCATTTTTTAAAAATATTTATTCATTTGGAAAATTAACAAACTTTTCCATTTCCATTATATTATTATTACTATAAGAGCTCTTTGTCTTGTTAGTATTTCGTGTTTATAAGAAATTTTATTATGAAGTTGGTTATGAGGAAAAGTGTGTGTATACACAGTTTGTTTTACCAATTTTCTAAACAATTTACATATCAGATTTTCTAAGTTTTATAAATTGATTTTTCTCATTGCATTTACTTACTTTCTGAAGTTGATACTTTCATATTTCTGAAAGTTCATAGTTATATTTTAATTTTTAAAAGGATAGATAATATTGTTTGTTATATAGTATTGCAAATGACATTATCACCAAATCACATGATTTTCAAATTCATAAGCTAAAATTTATGACAATGAAGTCTGTACATAATTCTTATTTAATGTGCTTCAATTTAGTGTCATTTTCAGAAGTGACCAGATGATGGGACTAAATCAGAGTTTGACTGTAATATTATATTAAAATGTTTGTTTCTTTAGTGTGAAACAAGAAAGAATATTTGAGACAACTGTGCATTTAAATTAAGTTTGCTTTATTAAGAATAAGTTGTTTCTTAAATAGATGTACAAAATCCCATGTAAAATCATTTGATATTACCCTTTTATTTTTAATCAGTCTTTACATTTTTACAGTGGAAGTCAGAAATAAATTTTAAATATATGCAATTCAGTTTATAAAAGTTTGTATATTTTAGTATAGTCTTAAAAAATAAAAAGAAATTCTATGTAAATGTTGTTATGTAAAATGAGATTTGTTATCTTTAAAATAATTACTGTTACAGGAAATTCTTATTAGTTTGAAATTCAAGGTATGAAATAATCACAACTTTGAATTATCTGAGATTTACATGTATCTGTACAATATGCCAAATGCCATGTAATTTATTATGCAAATGGAATATGGATACATATACAGAATGCTAGAGAAGAATAGAAACACAAATAAATGACATTAGACAGCAATTAGGCAGGCTGACCAATACATTAAAAACAACATGACACCCAAATTAAAGAAACAACTCAAAAACATTTTCAAGAAAATCACAACACAAACATTACAGAATACATCAATACACTAAAACAAAAACTTGCAGCCAAAGCACGTAGACTCAAACGATACAAAACATGTACACTACGAAATCAACAAAATAAATTATTCACAATGAAAAACTTTTCTACAGACAAATCAGTACCAAAACAAACACTGATATACAGCACAGTGGCACACCAACAGAAGAACTCACAACTTATTGGTTTTCTCTTTGGTCCAATGCTGTTACACACAATGCTGATGCAGGCTGGATCGAGGAGGAGAACAGAAACTTGCACAACATACGAACTATGCCCTGTGCTGAAATAAACATACATGACATTCGCTACGCTGTTAACAGAACACACAACTGGAAGACACCTGGTGCAGACAACATTCACAATTTCTGGTACAAAAAGTTTACATCACTGCACCAGGAACTAGCTAAACATCTAACAAACATCATCACCAATCCACAAGACATGCCAAAATTTCTTACTCAGGGCATCACCTACATGAAACCTAAAAACACCACCACCACAGACCCCACACAATACTGACCAATTACATGTCTTCCAACACTCTACAAATTATTGACATCTTGTATCACAAACAAAATATACAAACATGTTGAAGAACACGACATTATTACGGAACAACAAAAAGGTTGCTGTAGAAATCACAGGGGATACAAAGAACAGTTACTCATAGATTCAGTCATTTTACGGCAAGCACACAAACAACACAGAAACATACACATGGCATATATAGACTATAGAAAAGCATTCGACAGTGTTCCACACAGTTGGCTGCTACATATTCTACACATGTACAAAATACATCCATCACTCATTGCATTCTTCGAAAACACTGTGCAGAACTGGAGAACAATACTACATCTCAGGGTTAGTAACACTTCCATACAAACAAATGAGATATTTATTAGGCGAGGAATTTTTCAAGGAGATTCCTTGAGTCCTCTCTGGTTCTGCCTAGCCCTGAATCCATTATCCAACATGTTAAACAACACGCAATATGGCTACAATATCAGACACGAAAAAACAACACAGTTTATGCTATCACATCTCATGTACATGGACGACATAAAACTTTATGCATCCACACAAAAACAACTTCATCAACTCCTACAAATCACACATTCATACACCAAGGACATACAAATGGAGTTTGGCTTAGACAAATGCAAAACACTTCACATAGAAAAAGGAATCCTGAAGAAAGAAGGTTTTTACTTGGAAATGAACAAGTTATTGAATCCATGGAAGAGGGAGAGTTCTACAAGTATTTAGGATTCCAAGAGGCCAAACTAACAGAACATACACAAATAAAGAAAAGATTAATTAAAGAATACCAAAATAGGTTAAATGCTATTCTCAGAACACGGTTAAATGCAAAACACACAATTAAAGCAATAAACACACATGTCATTCCTGTACTCACATACTCTTATGGAGTTATATATTGGACTCGCACAGATCTCGAGCAACTCCAAAGGAAAACAAGAACAACACTTACTAAGCATAAACAATATCATCCATCATCCTAAATCCGCTATAGAAAGATTAACCCTTCCACGTAAAGATTGCGGACGTGGCATGATTGACATAGTTAATCTTCACTACAAACAAATACAGTCACTGCGAGAGTTTTTCTACAGGAAACAAGAAACATCACTTACACAAAGCAGTAACTCTAGCAGACTCAAATGACACACCATTAAACTTACACTCACATCATACAGACATGACACAACACACAAAAAGTATAGACCACCATCAAGCAAACATGGGCTTAAAAGGCACTCTATGGCAGGCATCCTTATGACCTGGCCCAGGATTTTGTTGACAAAACTGCGTCAAACAGCTGGTTAGATCGGGGATGCCTCTTTGGGGAGACGGAAGGATTCATGATTGCCATACAGGATCAGGTCATAAATACTAAAAACTACAGAAAACACATACTCAAAGATACAACACTCACAAATGACACATGCAGAAAATGTCACATCATGCCAGAAACTATACAACACATCACTTCTGGTTGCAAGCTCTTGGCACAGACAGATTACTTACATAGACACAATCAAGTAGCAAATATAATACACCAAGAGCTTGCAAAGAAACACAAATTGGCAGACATCCACGAACCATACTACAAGTATATTCCACAGACAGTATTGGAAAATAACACGCACAAAATGTATTACGACAGAGCCATAATCACAGATAAAACAATTTACCACAACAGACCAGACATCACACTCATTGACAAACACAATAAAATCACATACATTATAGACATAGCCATTCCAAACACTCACAATGTACAAAACACATGCACTGAAAAAATTAGCAAGTACACAACTCGCCCAGGAAATAAGGCATCTGTGGAGGATGGATAGGGTGCTTATTGTATCTGTTGTTCTCTCCTATACAGGTGTGATACCACACACTCTACACAAAAGCCTGGGAACACTACAGAAGGTCACTATATTGAATACATGCCATATTGTTAGGAAATTCCTGATACAGACACTAACACACACATTTAATTTTTGTTCTTGGTTGCTATGCCTTGACTCTGGTCTGGCATAGTACACAGACACCAGTGTGAACTGAGTATAACCCACTAAACCCAACATAATAATAAAAATTTGAAGACAAATAGCATGTGTCCAGTAAGAACTTCAGAGGTTGCCAGATAGGTTTTATAAAAAAAAAAATAAGCAGATTCTTCAAAATGATAGCCCAAATTATTTTTAAAGTGGCTCTTAAGAGTAGTAAGTTGCCCAAATTAGTAGCGTAGAGCCCTACAAATATCTCAGTCTTTACTTGTAAGCCAATCTTACATTCCCAGAAACCAGTTATATTTTATAAGATAAGAAGAAAAAAGGGTATTCCATGAGTAAGATGACACTTGAAAATGTGTTAGTAGTATAAAAGCAAAGCTGTATTGACCAGATTAGAGTTGTCCTTGGTCTATTGTTCTCTTACAGAATGGATACACTTTAATCTAAAGCAGGCTTAAACTTTTTTATTCACGACCCCATTTATGATTGTGATTTTTTTCGCAACCCAAAAATATAAAATAAAGATATATACAAATTTGCAAAAACA